AATAATAACCATCTCCCATCAAGTAAATTCTCACTTTCCAAGGTTTTCTAGGTACTGTAGAGAATACTCAGAAGTGGTTTACAATACCCTTCTTCTTGGGGTAGCTTGAGACTGTGCAGCTGGCCCATGGCTACACAGGCTGGCTGTACTCACAGAACACACAATGGGGAACTGAACTCCCAACCTCTGGCTTCATGGCCAGATAGCTAAACCACTGAGCTACCCAGCAAAGCCTTTATACTTTATAGACTACAGGAAAGCCTTTGACTTTGTGGATCACGAGAAACTATGACCTATTCTGAAAAAAAATGTTTTCAATGGTAGTTCTAGGCTCTCCCCCCTCCCCTTCAGAGATGCAATTACTGAGTCTTTCATGCCTCTATAACTTCTATCTTAGATTACTGAAGGTTCCTATAGGATTGGCCTTGATGAGTAAAAGGCGAAAGATTTATGCAATCTGAAGAGAAACCAGAGTATGCCCTCGATGACAGTTTGAAGAATTCAGCTTGTGCAAAATACCAGTGCCCATGTTCATGTAGGCCTATATTCCTGCTTCCGGCTTCTAGTTGCTTTCTGGACTCCTTCCAAAGAAATGATGACTCCCTGAACAATTTGAGCCTCCCGTTCAATTTCATAGCCCATCTATAATGTCTCAGGGTTGTCACCTCCACAGCACCATTTGGATGTGAACTAACTGTCTACACAGGCTACATAAGGAGATAATTATCATGATGAATCATTTTTAAAAAAAACAAAATATATGGTCTAGCAATGTGCCAAGAAAGTATGTGACAGCTCTTGAAGGGGCAGAATGGATCAGTCTAAGTGGAAATATGTCTGGATGTCAACAGCAATCCATATACTGTACCAATCTATATTCCAATCTGGACAGGCCCAAAGAATCCTGATAACATTTATCCTCCCCTACCATATCCCAACCATCCCCTGACTTCTCTTAATGTACTGGATCCCAAGCCACCTCCTCCCCACTTTCTCTTACAAATAACTAATCCTTGCCCCCATAAGGTTCTTGTACCCTGTTTTCCCCCCAAAATAAGACCTAACCTGAAAATAAGCCCTAGTATGATTTTTCAGGATGCTTGTAATATAAGCTCTACCCCCCAAATAAGCCCTAGTTAAGTGAAACCCCACCCTCCACCGTTGTGCAGCAACCAGAAGATTGACATGACTGTAAAATAGAACATCCCCTGAAAATAAGCCCTAATGTGTTTTTTGGAGCAAAAATTAATATAAGACCCTGACTTATTTTGGGGGAAACACAGTATTACAAAGGGCTGTTACACTTCAAGGAGTTAAAGTGAGTCAGTAAATTCCGAGGGAGATTATCAATCATCCATCTCATCAAGGAAGAAAAAGGAGAAAATTCAAACAAGAAAAACCTGTGTTCCAAGTTCTGTCCAACTAAGTGCCAGCATAGAACATTTGTTAACCCCGTTAACAAAACACTTGCTTTCTCCATCTTGACCTAAAGCAAAGAGATTTAGATCTGGAGGAAGTCAAAAGGGTTTTTTGTCTTTACTGGTTTAGAGCAGAGCAATCTCTTCATTTTTCACGTCACAGATCACAAGATTGTCACATTAGAAAAGTATTGGCATGAAAAAGGAAGGGGAGGATTGCTCTTTTTTTCTTCCTTGTTCCTTTTCTCTCTCCTTGGCTCTGAGCAAACGGTAACAGAAAACCATGACTTCTTCAAGTCAAGCCATCTTCTCTGCCTCTCTGGTGCTGTCCTGCTCTGTTTTCACATATTAACTGTGTCATGCGGATTTACTGTGACAGCAACTCCAAAGCAAAAGATAAGCCAGGGTATCCAGCTGACAAACAGAGACAGTGGGCTCATCTACACTAGCCCTTTTGGAGGTCTCCTGGGAGAATTCTGCAACTTGCCCAAGGCCACATAGGCTGGCTCTTCTGGGAGGCACAGTGCAGAATCGAACTCCCAGCCTCTGGCTCTGCAGCCAGAGGCTGCAACTCACAAGAGTTATCCAGCTGTTTACCAAAATAACAATTTCAAAATCCACAAGGAATCAATACCTTTATTAAGATCAGTTATAAATACATGAAATATGCAAGCTTCCAAGATCTAAAGAAGTCTTCATAAGGCCGCTAAATGGTACAAAACTGAGGAGGGGGATTTGAAAGGGCATAGAAATCCAATACAAAGCTAGTTGTTTCAAACCATGGAGAGCGGGAAACAATGTTCCAAGTCAAAAAGTGTGACTTGATGCGCTAAACAGCCATGCAGGCATCGTGAAGTCTACCAAAATGACAAGTTGGAGGGTAGATAGATATACCTCCCTGGCTTTAATGATAGGCTGGAGGCAGTGCAGGTAGACAGCAGAGATTAAACCTTCCAAAATGATTTTCCTGCTACACCAGGATTTGTAGAAATATGTTTGTATAGGTGCATTTAGAAACATTTGTTGGTTAGCATAAATACTGAGTTAAACAAGGATCCTCCAAATCTGGTTCAAATCTGAGTTAAAACCAATCAAGTCGCAATGCATTAAAAGTATATACATGTTTCTATAATAAATGTCTTTGAGCTAGTAGAGTTCTGTAGATCGGAGAAGCCAGGAGCTGGGAGTCTGAATCTCTGCTGTGCCTCCTGAGGCAGGGGGGGCAGTGGATCTAAGCTGGAGTGGGTGTGGCCGATAAGACTGGGTAAGTACTTCTGCGTATTTCATGCCGAGAAACTCTGGGATGGTCACCCTAAATTGGAATTGACTTGATGGCACATACTTACGTACAAATAAAAGCTAGAGGATCAAGATATTCCCCAACATGCCTGTCCTTTATTAGTGCGATCACCCACGTGTACACATAGCTGCGTGTATTCCACATGTTGAAAAAGTAAAACAAAGCATTTCCATCCCAAGGATGCAAGAAAATTCTGCAATTAAAAAGCACTCATAGTTATAGTAAGAATAATTTGCATCACATCTTTTATTTTGCTTTAATGGGACCTGTGATTTTTTAAAAAACTATATTGTATAATTTGTCTGCTCTTGCTAATTGTTCTGGATGAAGCAGGGAGCTGTGGAGGTAAAGCAGCCACTTACTCATTACCAACAAGGAGGACAATGTATTTCATTTGAGTAGCGAAGACTGTGACTAGGTGCCCGCTGAGTCTGTGGTCAAGGTGCTCACTGTGGGCGAACACCTTCCAGCCACCAGTTCATTTTAACCCATCTGTGTAACCATTTAATTGGCCAAAGTGGCAACCCAAAGCAACTTAATAGGGACTGCTGTCCAATGATAATCTTAACTAGGACCCCTGCCCAGAGAGACCACTTGTAGCCCATTGAAAGTTTTAAGATCTTGTGCTTAAGCCCTACTCCAAGTATCTATTTCTGTATATAATATTATATCATTATGGAAAAGACGACTATGGCATACTTTCCCTAAAATGGTCTGCGGGGCACCTACTTTTCATTCTTTTCAACAATAGGGTGAAAACCATCTGGACATCTGAGAACTCCAGATAGAAGAGGACCTTATGGATCATCAAAACCAGCCCCTCTCAAGAGGCACAGTGGGGAATCGAACTCCCAACGTTGGGCTCCATAGCCAGATACCTAAACCACTTATTTTAGCCCTTAAAAAGATAATAAAGTGTGCAGGTATCAAGCAAAGATTATAGTGAGGAAGTGTTCCTGTTGTTTCTGGTGCAATGATCCAATACCCACTGCAGGTGCTGGTAAACCAGGTCTGCTTACAAGACAGAGCTTGCAGGCCAGTTGCTTCTCAAACCTCGGGGACACAAATGTCCAGGGCTTCGCATTCTGTGGTTCCTCCTGACTCCAGATGAATGCTTTGGCATTAGCGAATTCATTCATCTCCTGCGGCAGAACCTCTAACGGGAAAGGGCACAGTTCCGATAATTGTAGTATTTTGCTTCTTATCTTCAAGTGACACCTGGTGTTTCGCCAGGGTGTAGTACTGTGATTTGATTGGGGGGGGTGGGGTGGGAGTTTTTGTTCAATAAATCTTGAAGGCATGAGGTTGCATTTTTATTTGCTGTTTCTTATTACTGCTACCCAATAACTGTATTTCTGCACTGTGTTAAATTACCTGGTGTTTCGCCAGGGTGTAGTCCTGTGATTTGATTGGGGGGTGGGGTGGGGTGGGAGTTTGTGTTCAATAAATCTTGAAGGCATGAGGTTGCATTTTTATTTGCTGTTTCTTATTACTGCTACCCAATAACTGTATTTCTGCATTGTGTTAAGTTTAAAAATTATGTATTATCAACACAGTTGCTCAGTTCTGGAATCCAATTTGTGGAAGTCTTGAAGAAGCACATACATAAGAAATAAACTGTCAAATACCCATTTAAAAGGAATCTGCTACAGCTTCTATGGATCCTGCTTGCACGGAAGCAACTCTCATCTGTCAAAGGAAAAGATTTACAAACCTGAAGCAAGGGCCCCCAGTGAGTTACCGGTTTTTGCATAATTATAAGTACAAATAGTCATATGGTCCTACATCTGTAACACAGATATACCATTTTAGTTTAGTGGCTATGCTTGTTATAGTCTTTGTACCTGGGACCATAGTTTTTTTTTTAAGTTAATTTTTAAGACTGAGAGATAATGGGAAGTGTAGGCACCCCATAACACTTTCTAGGTAACCCTTTCTAGGTCTGCTTGGGACTCAAGGAATTTATTTCTGAGTACACGCGCCTAACTGTGAATAGTAACACTACAAAGTGCACAGTTGGCTTGTCCTAAGGCTGATCCATCTGAAGAAGGATTTAATGTAGAAGCAATCCTGAGAGAGTGGGGCGGGGTGTCTGAATGCATATTTTTAGATGTAGAAAAGTAATAACATCTAGCTCGGTCTTTCCATCCGGTGAAGAGACTCAGCTGACATCCTGGCGGGGAGAAATCCAGATTCTTTCTTTCTCCCTCCCCACCCTTTGCAAAAGGTTTCGAAAGGGCGGGCTTACAACGTGGAAAGAGCGCCCAGGTACCCATCCGAGCCTCTGTAGCTTTCTTCCTCCTGCTCTTCCTCCAGGCGGCTGAAGAGGACCTCCTAGGACCGCGGCGGCGCCCACGGGACAGGATGGGGAGCAGCGCGCATCACCGCTGGCCGCCGCAGAGCCCGCGTGGTCCTCACGTAAGCCGGATCTCCACCCGTGGAGCGGGCGGGCAGCCTTTTGTGTCCGAAAACTGTGGGGTGGAGTGTGTGTGTGTGCTGGGGGGGGGTGTGACCGGGGACCTACAGAAAGCAAGAGCGCCTCGGAGCGCAAGCGTTGGTGGGCGGCGGGGAGGCTGAAGGAAGGGGGAGCTGTTGCCAAGGCGCCGCTGGCTTTCTTTCTTTCTCTTTCTTTCTTTTCCTCCCTCGCTTGTCGTGGCGCGACCGTCCATCCATCCATCCACACACACACACACACGCACACGCACGCACGCACCCTTTACGGAGATCGCGAGCGTCGTGACAGGATTTCTGCTTTTGGATCGCTAGCCCTGCCAGGGACCCCCATCGCCTCCCCGCACATACACACGCGCAGCCGAGGCACGGATTGCCCTGCCCCAGTCACAAAAGCCATAAAGAAATGGGATGACCGGAGGGGGGGGGCACGAGAGAGGCGGCCAGGGCTTGCCTCTGGAGGCCCCAAAAGCCCTTCTCCACCTGCTCAGGAGCAACCTCTTTACGGGGACGGTGAGATCGGATGGCAAGGCCGTCCAGCACAAAGGGAGCACTTTCCGTTAAGTGGCCGTCTGCTTTAGGGACTTCTGTTCCGGGTCCGCGCGTCTGCACGTGCTTTATTGCCGAAACCGGTCCCGGGTTATTCCTTGGCAACCCCAGTCCACGCTCTTTTTCCGCCCACCTCCGTTCAAAAGGAGAGCTAGAAAAAGTGAGTCTTTCCGATGCATGAAATGCTGTGGATTTCCACAGTTTCCGGAAGGCAGCCATTCTGTCCCTTTTCCTGCGAATCGCCTGTGCCCATGAAGGGGTGTGTTTTTAAAGCCCCTCTCGGTCACATGGAAATGGGTGTCACTTCACTTATTGCAAAGGGTGACAGGCCAGCTTTGATGGGTTTGGGGCTTGCCTGCTCTTTTTACTCAGCCAATCCAGGGACCATCACCCCGAAATGTCAGCCGCCAGCCGGAAGGCCCCAGTGCCAAGCAGACCTGTTGGTCAGCCATCCTCAGTGGGGGCCACATAGACCCCTGGGGAGCCGAAGCATTTGAAAGGGGCCACAGACTGGAAACAATTCTTCACACACCGCCTTATAAGGTTCACAATGTGGTTTATGCATTCCCGATTCAGCCTATATTTATTTCGTATTGTGTTTATGGCCGTGGCCAAAAACAGATTGAGAACGGCTGATGTAGATGATTGTCTTATGAGAATCTGAATTTTCTGTGGCACTAATTCACCACTTGTTTATCTGATAGCAAATGATCTTGATGAGTGTTCGACATGATTCTGTCTCCCTGTCACCCCCACCACCACCCCACTTCAGAAGCAGTAAGCATTGGGTGAAAATAGCTGTTAATTTATTACAAGTTTCCACTGAAAGTGTCCCACCCTGGCTTGGAAATAATGAATATGTTTAATGTCATAGTTAGAGTCCTGCCCTAAGGTCTCCTTACTCAGAGGGCAACTGCATTTGCTTGGACAAATGTCAAATTAAAATGTGCAGAGGACTGGAAACTTGGGACGCAGGAATGGGCAGCCTGGGTCCCCTTCAGATTTTGTGGTCTTCAGCTCTCATGATTCCTTATCATTATCCCTGCTGGCTACAATTGAATGGATCTGTAAGTCTGGATCAAAGATTCCCTTTCAGACTTTTCTCTCTCTCTGTTTTAACAATGAAACTGGGGCATCTGAGTCATACTGTATCTATGCACTCTTCGTGCTTCCGGCCCTGATACACTCACCTTGACAATTGAAAAGCACCTGCTTATGTACAAGCAAGGTCCCATTCAAATACTAAAATACTGTTTATTAGAAGTGATTGAAATCCATATCATTAGGACGGGTGGAATGTGTGTGTGGGGCGGCTGTTATCAGGAGTCTCTTGGCATGCAATGTGCATTCCTCTGACATCTTGTAAGGGGAGGAGATTTGCTTAAAAGACGAAACCCACAAAATCAGAAGTGCCCCCCATTTCCCAAGGGTGCAGTGGGATGAAGTTGGTCTCCCCAGGGAGTCTCTGCAATTACCTCTACTTACAAGTCTACTCACATACACAGAGAAACACCATAGGATGGCAATGTTGCACAATTAGAACTGAGCTACCCAAGATGATAATGTAGCACTGAGAGGAAGAATGACCGGACATCAACTGTCAGGATAAACAGATGAAAGGGGCTGTCATACTTTAGCTCACAGCGTATTTGAAGGGGTTGAAAAATACACAGTGTATGCTTATGATCTGCCATGAATTGCTGTGAAAGGCTTTTTCTTCCAAAACTGTTTATCAACTAACAGGGCACAGTGTGATGAGACACTTTGGTGGTTTGGTGGTACAGTACTGTATATGGTTTCCTATCACACTCTACTTTGTTGTTCTGCCAGGTGTGTTCTGTGACGGGCTATGACAATGTGTCCTTTTCTTGCACTCTTAGTGGCTTATCTCTGTGAGGGCGTCTTTATCTGTGTGAGGGTACGCCTTCTTCTGGATCAGGTCCTCATTCATACTTTCAGTCTGCCCAGCTATTTCCTCTATTTTGGCACCAGAACCTTGGTTTCACTGCATCTCGGCTAAATCATGCTTAATCTGAGTAGGCTTGTAATTGCCAGTACAAATCTACTCTTAATTCTCTCTTTGTGGCATTGACAGCACATGCTGGTAAAACAGGATGGAAAGTGGGAGCATATGGCTCTAGAGCCCAAGGCTGGGTTCTGGCATTGTGAAACATTTCATATGTCTCATTCATCATGTGCCTTCCTTAAGGCTACCATAACATGAGAACATGATGGAAAGGGAGAACGATTATTATCATGAATGATCACATTCACCCCACCCCACATTCTGCCAGCATGGACACAGACAGGCGTAACGAAGCCCTGGTCAGCCGATTCCCATCACATGCCCACATGGGAGTGATGGATTTCAAAACGAGTGGAACAATTAATTTAAGAGCAAAGAAGGAAGGAGGGGGAAGGAGGGAGGAAGAGTAACTGTAGTGTGAAAGGGACATGCAGCAAGTGGTGATAGGAACTGCAAGAGAAAGAAATGAGCATGTGACAGGAGGCAGCTGTGATCATGTCTGGCATCTGGTTTCCCTCCGTGGTAAGAGCCCTCCCTATGGCCATCAGCTCCTGGGTGATCCCTATCAGTGAAGGAGGCCTGGGGTATTTAGATTGTATTACCATCGAAATACCGTAGGAGTAAACATTCCATGGAAGTAAACATTCTCTCTGCCACTAGTGACCCTTCCTGCGAGAGAAATCAAGTTTTTCCTGTCTAAATAGCCCTCTTCAGGGCAAGGAAGATGGAACACAAGGGAATTGAGAGATGATACAGGCAGGTACCTTTAACTTTGAATGTATCTGAGGAATGGAAGTACAGAATTGTCAGGACACTCTTTGATAAGCCAGACCCCTGAAATTCAGCATATAGAGAGTCTTAGATGTCCTCTGAAAGAGGGGTGTTATGCATCTCTTTCTTAAAACAAGAGGCATAACATATAACCCTAGATAAAGGTCTGCCAGACTCAGGCTCAGATGTGGGACTTGGACCCAAATACTTGTCAGTATTCCTGAGAATTGGCAGTTATAATCTTAAAGAACACAGCAAGAGGGAGAAATGTTGATCCTGAGGCTCATTGCTGTTCATTTTAAAAATACCATACCATGGTGTTGGTGTTTAGCTCTGAATAGCCTCCCACTGACAATGGCGAGGATGACATGTCACTATAAGCTCTGACTTTTCATTTACAAACATGATGCTAAGACAGGGGTGGGCAATTAATTTCTATAAGGGGGCCATATGAAAGATCTGAACTGTGTTCAGGGGCCGAACCAACTTTACTTAAAAATAAAACGAAACAGTGATGTTATGATTGTTTTTATTTTAAACTTGTTCATCTTCACAAATACTAAAGAGGTTTTTTGCGGTATGTTAAAGATAAGCAACTGATCAACTTTAAACAAAAAGCTATAAAGGGTTTTGATGTTCAAAACTGTCCGCGGGCCAGACAGGAGCAGCTCGCGGGCCGTATGTGGCCCTCGGGCCGCACTTTGCCCAAGTCTGTGCTAACACGTACTGCCAAATACTTCAGGGGCCAGGATGAACAGACCACAGACCTCCTATCTGGGGCTTGCTTATCATGATATCCAGACCTGAAACCTGACCTGACTTTTCCCTGAAAGGCCAGAGAAATAAATCAATAACAAATTGTAGGTCATTATTCTAGCTTGTCAGGGAGAGACATGCCAGAGTGCCAGGCAAGAACATCACAATATTCAGGCCATAAACAAAACCTCTATGGTTCATTTAGCTTCTTCTTGGCTGTAGTAGGAGCAGCCACACAGCACCATCTTCTGAATTCACTTCCCAGGAAGGACCAGTACCTCCCAATGCCATCCCAGACAGGCAGCCTAGAAGGATACTGTATTAATGGTACAGAAAGCCACAGAGATGTCCAGCAAAACCAACTATTACATATTCTCTTGTCTAGTTCCTCTTATCTTCTTATGAGACATACTGCTTTCATGGCCTTGAAAGCAGTATGTCTCATAAGAAGACCGTGAGCCTGAAATGGACCTAGATAATCTGTGTCATCCGGGTACCCAGGAGCTGAGAAGCCACCACCTCTTCCAGAACCTTACATGAAAATGGCATATTGGAAGTGTCCACTACTGTGTGGTCTGGGGAAGTCTTTTTAAGTCAAGGCCTTACAACTGACTCCTGGAGGCAGGGCAGAATCTTACCCTGCTCCAAAGAGGCATTCATCACTCAGACCTTACATGACTACCAACAGGATTCTCACCAAATGGACCTTAAACTTTTATGTTATGTTTTCTTGAAAAGAAAGGAATATAAAGAAACTATATATATAGTTTAAACACACGTTTATGAGTACATACTGTAGTCTGGCCTTTCTCACCAGATGACTCATAAACGTGTTCAAATCCACCCATAAGCTCAAACAAAGGTT